CTAATCTTAAACTGATCACTGGAGAAAAAGGATTTCAGAAACATATATCAGGATATGGATTCAACACATTCTGCTACACAACATTTAATTATTATTCATTAAACTGCTGAAAAAGGAAAACCTACAAACATGTATTTAATAGATTAAGCCAACATCTTCCATCCAAAAAACATTTCTTCTCTAATTTAAACAGTGGTTTTATAAACATATATATATGTATATGTATGTATGTATGTATGTGTATGTGTGTGTGTATATATATATATATATGTATGAGAGAGAGGGAAAGAGAGAGAGAGAGTGTGTGAGAGAGAACCCTCAGGCAGTCGCTTTCACAACAAACTATTTTGTGTTAAATTTTTATTTATATTTACTGATAAAGAAATAAAGGGAGACGTATAGATCTATTTCAAGCGATTTAGTTCTCATCAGCTAGCCATACCCTTCTGGGATATATACATATACATATACATATACATATACATATACATATACATATACATATACATATACATATTGCTTGCACAAGCACGAAGCTGAAGACACCAGCCTGAAGATGACAAGTGGAACCTCGTCAAAACGTCGCCAAGATACTCTCAATCTTACACAGGAAAAGACCCGAATACACCAAGACTTGTGTATATAGATATATAGATATATACATATATACATATATATGTGTGTGTGTGTGTGTGTGTGTGTGTGTGTGTGTGTACAATTAATATTTCGGGTTTCTTCCCGTGTAATTGTGAACATATCCCTAAAAGGGTAGAAGCGACGTTTTGACAGAATCTCATCTGCCATCATCAGGCTTATGTGAGGGGTCTTTTGCAGTAACTGCCGTTACTATTTCAAATCTGGTGCTGGTAGTCTGGGATGGCTCCACCTTTTCATTTTCAGAAGAGAAGAGAAACTCCTCATATGAGCTGCGGTGGTGCAGTAGTTAGAGTGCAGTACTGCAGGCTACTTCCGCTGCCTGCCGGCTGCCTGCAATTTGGCAGTTTGAATCTCACCATGCTCAAAGTTGACTCAGCCTTCCATCCTTCCGAGGTGGGTAAAATGAGGACCCAGATTGTTTGGAGCAATAGGCTGACTCTGTAAACCACTTAGAGAGGGCTGTAAAGTGATATATAAGTCTAAGTGTGATTGTGATTGCGATTTTACAAGAATGCATTGTACTAGAACATGGAATATGAGAGGCATGACAAAAGGAAGAGTTATAATCATTAAGAAGAAATGAAGCACACTAGGTTAAATATTTTAGGACTGTATGGTCTTACATGGAGCAGAAAGTGCCCCTTTAAATAAGATGAGCATATGTTATGCTAAATATTCAAGGCAATTATACCAAAAGTTGGAATAACTATGACACTCAAGGAAGTCATTGATATGAGCCTTTCCTCACCACTATGTAGAATTGGTCTCCAGCCTTTATTGCATCGGAAGAAAAATATACAAGCATGACATATATTGTCCCCATTGTAAATTTCTAGCTTGGCTCTGTTGCCTCTGTTTCAAGTCACTGCAGTTGTTATCCTTCTAAAGTAATGAGTAAAATATTCTAATTGATTTTTACATACTTTGTACCTGTTGGATGCTTAAAGGGAAACTACAACAATGGTATGACTTAAGAATTACTTAAGCCTATCTCACTCATGAGCTACAGACTGGATGAAAGAGAAATGGAGATGAAGAAGATTGGAGGGGAGGAGGAGGAGGAGGAGGAGGAGGAGGAGGAGGAGGAGGAGGAGGAGGAGAGGAGAAGGAGAAGGAGAAGGAGAAGGAGAAGAAGAAGAAGAAGAAGAAGAAGAAGAAGAAAAAAAAGAAGAGAAGAAGAAGAAGAAGAAGAAGAAGAAGAAGAAGAAGAAGAAGAAGAAGAAGAAGAAGAAGAAGAGAAGAAGAAGAAGAAGAAGAAGAAGAAGAAGAAGAAGAGGAGAGGGGGGAGGGAGGGAGAGAGAGAGAGATGATCCTTCCCCTCCCCAGGGGCAAGTTTGTGCTATAGTGGTCTGGTGTATATCTTGGGAAAGGTATGAGAGAAAGAAGATAAATACTGTTGAATTATGGATTTGGAAACAGTTTCTAAAAATATCATAGAGAAGAATCAATCAGCCAGTCCTTTGCTAAATGAAGGCTTGAAGCAAGATCAGTAAGTGATGCAAGCAGAGGTTGGATTAGAAAAAAAAAAAACCAGTTTTTTCACAAAGTTTAGGGAAGTAGAAGAAAGTAAAGACAGAGCATTAAGCGGACAGAAGATATCAATGAGATTATTGAAGTGTCATTGAAGGGCTACATCATTAAAGAGTAATACTTAATAACTCTGATGCAATGCTAGCCCTAACTCATTTCAGATATTCAAAATATGGATATATAAAATAGGATGCTGGGAGGCTTTTTAGCAAGAATCCATTTGGTAAGAGATGATTCACATTTCATATGCAGAGCCCCTCTGTTGATGGGCCAATTAAAGTGCATGAGTCAAACTAGAACCTGCTGGATCCCATCTCCATTACTATACATGAATTGTAGTGGGCATGAATGAGCAACCCTTCTAGTCAGAAGGATATGATCAGAGACTTGTCATATCACTAGAAGTGGCAGGGCTGATTTTGATTTGGGGGGGGAGGAGGAAAGTTGGACAAGTTTGTGCTTTGCAGAAATCTAGGGCGTGTCTATTGTCCTTTCAATGTCTCTCCCATTGGGAATAATACCTTGGGAGAGAATATCCAGGATTTATAACGGATGTAATAGGGACTTTGTGGGCTAATGAATTCATTTTATGCCTTGGAATTCTTCATAGATCCAATGGGTATGAAAACTCAGAGGCCACACATGGAATTCTAGGATGGGCTTGTGGCCCTCATATTATATAAGGCATTGCTACCAGATTCCTAATGGTATGTAACAGAAAGACTTTGACATGCCCTACTTTATTCCAAACTCCACCATAGCTTATTGCTATATAAGTATTTCCTATTTATTTTATGCCATACATTCCTATGAGACTGTAAGTTGGTGCGGGCATCCTGCACCAACTTATGGTCGCTGTTTTTGGCAAGAGTTTATTTTTCAGAGTTCTGCCTTTGCTTATCACAACAATGCAGGAGTCAGACCAGCCCGTTTTACATATCTGGGGGGAGGCACAGGAAATATTAAAACTAATACTGGTTTTAAAATATGATGCTCCACTACACGCCCCATCCTCTGAGACCCACAGGACAGTAAATGACATCTTTACAACAGCAGCAGCATCACCCTGGTCCTTAGGAAGTTGATCCATCCGGATTTTTGCCAAGAATCCTGCTGAAAGCCGGGAATCTTGGCTTGCTATAAACACAATTGGAGGAAGACCCTAGGGGCCCTGTGAGCAGGAGCAGAACTAGCTGTGGCAGAAAGCACAAGAAACTGAAAGAACACAGAAGAAAATCAGCCACCCAAAACAAACACAAACATCTAGGGCAGGGATGGCTAACCTTTTTGCCGTCACGTGCCAAAGGCAGGGGTCGCGTGGGGGGGGTCGCGCATGTGCGTGCCCACACCCATAATTCAATGTGCCTCACCCCCACTGCGCATGCGCGCACGACCCCCCACCCCACCCCGCACTCCCCCCACTTTTGGCACATGATGGCACAGTGGGCCCGGTAGGCCTGTTTTTCGCCCTCCCCAGGCTCCAGAGGCTTTCTTGGAGCCTGGGGAGGGCGAAAATGGCCTCCCCCCTCCCTGGAGTCTCTCCGGAGGCCAGAAACAGCCCTTTTCCCGACTTCCGGTGGGCTCAGAAGGCCCGAAAATCAGGTGGTCAGTGCACACATGCATGCTGGAGCTGAACTAGGGCAATGCTCGCGTGCCCACAGATATGGCTCCACGTGCCCACAGATATGGCTCTGCGTGCCACAGATGGCACATGTGCCATAAGTTCGCCATCACGGATCTAGGGACTTCTGGGAAGAGTCCTGAAGTATAAAAGGAATGAGTGAGGGGGGACATTTTCCTTTCCACCCAGAGGTGGGTTTCAGCAGGTTCTGACTAGTTCTGGAGAACCGGTAGCGGAAATTTTGAGTAGTTCAGAGAACCGGTAAATTCTACCTCTGACTGGTCCTGCCCCCATCTATTCTTGCAATTACCTTCCCATGGAGTGGGGTGGGAATGGAGATTTTACAGTATCCTTCCTCTGCCATGCCCACCAAGCCACGCCCACCAAGCCATGTCACACTCACCAAGCCACGCCCACAGAACCAATAGTAAAAAAATTTGAATTTCACCACTATTTCCGCCAGTAGGCTGCCTAGAAGAAACTAAAAAGGCAGGCTGAACAGCATCCTTGCTTCCATAAGCGTGAAGAGTTTCATTAGAAGTTTGCTCTTTAATGTTCTAAGACTTTCAGTGAAACCACAATGTAGCTTATGTACAGTATATAAATTATTATAAATTCTCCATCTGTTGGGGCTCTTGTCGTATAAATTATTGTCCTTCTCTTCACTGATCATCATCACTATCATATTTCACTGCAGTGATGAAGGGGAGGAATCAAGGAAGACAAAGTCCATCAGTTCGTTTCTTCAAAATGGAGAAGCAGTGCTTCTGGAGAATTGCCATGTTTCAGCCTTACATTTTTAGTGGGACAGCTACACAGTGTTGTTAATAATAACTTATATCTTCTCCTTTGAAGATTCTTGATTCTAGTAGAAATGGAAATAATTGCCCTAAATTCCACGTGCCAAAGCAACTCCATCTAATGTACAGTTCAGTATTTAAAATGAATACATGGATCTAGTTTTCATTCAAAGAGGAGGGGGAGGGGGAGGAGGAGGAGGAGGAGGAGGAGGAGGAGGAGGAGGAGGAGGAGGAGGAGGAGGAGGAGGAGGACAGAAGGTTACCTTCCAACAGTGGGGGTATGGCACGCTATGGTGATGCTGAAGGTATACCAAATAGCAAGACAGCTTCTTGCTACAAGAAGCTTCAAGTAACAGCCTTACAAGGTACACCAGATCAGGAAACCAACTCTATGAAGATTAGAAATGAACTTTATTGAGATTCTGTTTGTGTTTCACCTTCTCTCCCTCTTATAGCCCATTGAGTCATGGAGGAACCATCCCGAGCCTTTTCTGTCTTCTTCCCTAGGGCCACACACTGCTTCTGCCCTTGTTTCTGTAAAGGCTTCTGAATATTCCTTTCAAGGCCATTTCCATAGCTCTCTAAATTAAGCAAGTCAGGCAGTCCTCAGCTAAAAAGCTAGATTAGGTACCTCCAAAATCCATTAGCAATTGGGAAAACAAACAAAAATTGATCCAATGGCTGATTGGTTGTCATCTGGATCAACAAGAACTGCCTTGGACATTCTAACTTTGGAAATCCAATACTGCCGACTACAGAACCAATCTCCAGTGCTGGACTTCTGCAAACAAGAATGAAGAATGGATGACAATGGGAAGAAACTTTTTAATACCAAAAAAAAAAGACATTGCCCCTAATGACAGCAGACCTATTACAGGTAGCCCTAGATTTATGACCATAGTTGAGCCCAAGATTTCTGTTGCTAAGTGAGACAGTTTCATTTTGTTCCATTTTATGACCTCTCGTGCCACAGTTGTTAAGTAAATCATTGCAGCTATCCAGTTAGTAACACAGTTGTGAAGTGAATCTGGCTTTCCCATTAAATTTGCTTGTCAGAAAGTTGCAAAAGGTGATCACATGACCCTGGGACATTGCAACTGTCATAAATATGAGTCAGCTGCCAAGCATTTGAATTTTGATCACATGATCATGGGGATGCTGCAGCGGTCGTAAGTGTTAAAAACGGTCATAAGTACCATTGTAATTTTAAATGGTCATTAAATGAATGGCTGTAAATCGAGGAATATAAGTTATTTACAGGAATCACAGCAAACCTAATATATGTCTATGTAAAAAATTACATATATGTAAAAAAAAATTATACTTTTACCTACTGGGCAAAATTTCACAGGGCAGAAAAGATCAGCTAGTAATTGACAACTAGGTCCTTAAACACTCAGAAGAAAAACAATCTTTTTAAATAGCTTGATAAAAAGGCACTGAATTCCCACATAGTTAGATCAGAAAATGCCTAGAAATGTTGGTGATTCGAAAACCTGATAGCAAAGAAAACATATCTTACGGCCTACAATGAAAAAAAAAAATGGGTGAAGTCAAAATTAGAAGAGGATTATTCCAAGGTAACTCATTGCCACCTTTCTTATTAATTTTAGCAGTCATAACACTTTAGATAATTTGAACAAAACCAGATATAGCTTTCAACCCTCAAGGCAAAGTCCTAAAGAAATCCATTTGCTAAAAAGGTTTTCAAAATCAAAAGCAGAACTGGGATCCAAACACTACATTATTCAGTGAGAATATGGGAATGCAATTAAGTTCACGCCAATGTGCAACTTTGATGATTAAAGGAGACAAAATTCTTCAAGAAGATAGATTACAGCTCATGAATAGAAATACCCTAAAACAGTTGGCACTAGAAGAAGGATTTATGGGAGCTTCTGACTATTATGTGGTCAAGTTAAAAGGAACGGTTGCGTTAATGATATAATAAAACTGATATTAAAAATTTTGAAAAACAAAATTTAAATTAAATTAAATGCAGGGAACATAATTACATCTCTAAACAAATTATTAGATATACTGCAGGCATAACTGATTGTATATATGAGTTGAATTAAACACTGGGAAATAAGGAAATGAATGACCACGCATCACGCTTTTCATCGAAGAAGCATTATAGACAAACTCTATTTTGCCAGAAATAAAGATAGTATAAGATTACTCCTGTTAGGATATGGTTTGAGCCTAACAAGTTGTCCAGGCAATATATGTGTTCTTTGACTTTAATATGAATATGTATTGTGTGACTTTAAAGTTTTCCTGCTGACTCATTGTAATGCTGAGTCATGCTGTAATTAGTTGTGAACGTATTTAAGAAAGGTACTGTAAAGTATTCAGTTGGTGATAAGCTACCATAGTATGTGGAGTTGCTACCCATTGTGCTATCATCGTTGGATGGATCTGCTACCAACGTGGTTTGTGAACCAGAGTGAGTTTGTTATTCTAACCAACTACTGTTTGTGTGGTAAGAAGAGTTATCCTTAACAACTCCAAGTAAAGAAAATAATAGAAAAAGAAAGACGTAGCCTGACTAGGTGGCTCAGTGGCTAAAACACTGAGCTTGTCCATCAGAAAGGTCAGCAGTTCAGTGGTTCGAATCCCTAGTACCGGTCTCCTGCGTGAGCAGGGGGCTGGACTAGATGACCTCCAAGGTCCCTTCCAACTCTATTACTGTTACTGCTTCAATGATTATATCAGGCACAGTAAGAGATCTAATGGTTCCATCACTGTGGAAATTTGTAAAGAATAGCAATCGAAGACTACAAAATTCGAAAGAAGATTATAAAAAAGAAACAATTAAAAACCACATGAATGCCTGGAAATCAGAATCTTTTCATAGGGTGTGTGTGTGTGTGTGTGTGTGTGTGTGTGTGTGTGTGTAGGGAGAGTGTGTGTGTGTGTGTGTCATGGAAGCTCACAAACAGGCTATGCAAACAAACATCATCGAAGGCAAAATTAAACATATTCCATATAATATCAAAGGTCATCCACATAGGTAAAATACAACATTCTAATTCACCTCATCAGTTGCTATAGCAACGTTGCCCCAAGTGTTTCAAAAATTGTGCCTTGGAAATTTATGTAGAAAGGTTGGCTTTACAGGTGGTCCTTCATTTACAATCACAATTGGGACCAGAATATTGGTCACTAAGGGATGGGGCCATTAAGCAAATCATCAGATGACCAGATCCAATTTTATTACTATTTTTACCACAGTTGTTCAGTGAATCATAGGATTGTTAAGTGAATCTGGCTTCCCCAATTGACTTTACTTGTTGGAAACTGGTGGGAATGTCACAAATCATGACCATGTACTTCCAGGGTGTCAAACATGCGGCATCATGTTGGCCTCACGGGACGTATCACAACTTTTTCCCCCTTCGCTAAAGTGGGGGTGGGCGTGGCCAGCGCATGATGCATCCGGCCCGTGGACTGCGAGTTTGACATCCCTGATGCATTTGCAAGTGGCTGCAACCATCGTAAATGTGAGCTGGTTGCTAAGTGCCCAATGTGATCACGTGACCTCAGGCATGGTTCCACAGTTATAGCTTCAAGAAGAGGTTGTAAATCACTTTTTCAGAGGTCATTGTAACTTTGAACCATTGTTAAGCAAACAGTCATAAATCAAGGATTATTTGTATTGTTAACAAAAAATGAGTCATAGAAAATAAGGAGGCCTTATGGGATTTTAAATACAAACCAACAGACTGCTGAAAAACAATGTATCAAATGTTACTACTTTAAAAAGAAAAATGTGTGATGCTTAAATACAATAATACTAGGAATTGTTGACCAAAAACATTTTTTTTAAAAAAAATGGGTTTGCAATTTGAAGGCTTTGGAAGAAAAAGTAAACTACAATACCCAATAAATGGATTTCTTAGAATGATACCAAAAGGATCCAGCAAATATTTGGAAGATTTCAATGCCTTGGACTTTACACCACTGGCTGCATACATTAAAACTTTAATAAAAGCAGATAAAAGCAGATAAGCAAGCAAAAATTAAAAAAAAATGATCATAGAATCATAGGGCTGGAAGGGACCTTGGAGGACTTCTAGTCCAACCCATTTTGTGTGGAAATACATTAAAAGCCTCTGCTGCAACAAATTCCAAAATATGCCTCTTTGTGTAAAAAGGGAAGAGAACTGCCATCTTGGCAAAACATGCCTTTAGTGTTTCCATTCATTTTTTAGAGTTAGATTTGACAGTGGGAGTGATGCATTCAGTACACATCGATTATAACATTTTTCTGTCATTTTATAACTCTGGTTGTTATTATTATTTGAACGAATTAATTTCTATTATCCCATAAATTGGAGGAGGAAGAAGAGGACTCTCAAAGTGATGGGAGTTCTAGGATCTTACCACTGACTCATCTTTCTGGTCTCTACCATGTTTAACATTGTCTCCAGGGGTAGGATTCAGCTGGTTCAGACCGGTTTGAGTGAACCAGATGTTAATTTTATGTCCAGTTCAACGAACTGGTAGTTCCAATGACTGAGTGGCCCCGCCCTGCCCCTCCCCTCCCAGGAGTGACCTGTTTTGGATCCCAGGTAAGTGCAGGGGGCGAGTGGAGCCTGTGGAGGTGGAAAACGGGCCTCCCAGAGGCCCATGGAGGTGAGAAATGGGCCTATTTCCAGCCTCCAGAGATCCTCCGGAGCCCGTGGAGGTGGAAAACAGGCCCTCCACAGCCCATTTTTGCTCCCAGGAGGCTGCAGGGAGGCCTCCTAGGCCCAAAAATAGTACCTTCCAGTTAAGTGAGAAGCCTTGCAGTCTCTCCTTAATTCAGCTCTGCCTGCTAGAGAAAAAAAACAAATCAATTCTGCCTTTGTTTGCTCTTCTTTAAGTTCCCAGAAGGAATTACAGTTCGTGCATACACAAGTACAAAAGTCTTAAAAACATTTGTTTTAAGCGGCACCCCCACACTCCCTGGCCACACGTTTTTGCTCCCAGGGGGGTGTAGGAGGCCGAGTGCTGCCTGTCACACTCCATGGCCATGCCCACCCAGCCAGTCATTAGGGCAGAGAACCGGTTGTTAATTTATTTGAATCCCACCACTGATTGCCTCACTAAGACAATCTCACCAGTGAGATGTTACCTAAGTTCTCTGATTCAGCCATCACACCACCATACCTATTACATTTGGATTAAAAACATAAAATAGGCAGCCCTTAATATTGGGGCTGAGCCAAAATTAGGCAAAGAAGGGGCTCGGAAGGTAGAAATCTATCATCCTGAAGGATACTGATATTCCATTCATGTCTGATATTTTCAGCAGTGTTTGGGGTCACCAAAAAAATGAAAACATACACTGCTATGCTCACAAAAAACCTTTCACACTAAACCACAACTGCCTGTAGGAAGTCAACATCTTTTGAGCAACATCAGCAAAGTTGGGTATCTTGGAAGTCATTCAGAATACGCAAAATCCTGTAGCTGAGGACCAAATTGAACATGTGATGGCACATGACACTAGAAGATGTCAATCCTGGCAGATTATTTTACTTCCTGGACTTTAAAAAAAAATTGAATTATTAATTGCATGAGAAAATATAGTTTTCTTGTCAGCCTAGTGAAATAATGACTAATTGACAAAAACTTGATAGGTCCCTTTGAAATGGAAATAATATTAGAAAACAGGTGACTTTTCTCATAGGAAAGTCTTTTCTAAGAAAATGCCAGAGATTTTATACTTTTCCAAGAATTCAACAGGAGTCAAAGTGCTGACAATGTTTAGCAGAGGAAAAGGAGGGAAAGAAATGAAGCCATCTGCTTGAGCCTTTCTTATCAGCCTTTCCTTTCTCTTTTCCGGAAGATCGTTTTTATAACCTCCTATCTGTCAAGGACTTTTTAAAAAAAAAATCCAAGTGAGTTTTCCATAATGGGGGAAAAAAAGTATTCTCTCTACACTCCAGCTAAAAAATAAAAACAAAACCTATTCTCAGGATCCAAAGCAACAAAGAGGGTATGTACTGAAAAACTGAATGTAAATAGATTCAACCAAGGAATGGTTAGATCAGTATTTTTCAACCTTGGCAACTGGGGCCGACTGGAGAATTCTGGGAATTGAAGTCCACACATCTTAAAGTTGCCAAGGTTCAAAATGGCTGGCTGGGGAATTCTGGGAATTGAAGTCAACACATTTTTTTTTCACCAGAAGTCAACACATCTCAAAGTTGCTAAGGTTGAGAAACACTGGGTTAGAACTTCCCTTAGTTTTAGAGAGGCAGAATTTTTCACTCACAACCACTAGCATATTTTAGTGGAATTGCCCAGCTGCCATACAGGCTTCCTGGAAGTGATCAGAGCTCATTAAGGCTGTAAATTATATAGGCACACAGAGGAGATTCTGAACTTTAAGGAGGCCAATGTTTTATTTATTTTGTACAGCATACCAGGACTCCCTTCCTGAACACAGAAAGTTTAAGAATGACTGCTGTAACCAATCAGGGAGTGCAGAAGAGCAAGCACGTTTAACATTTAGCCCTTGATATTAAAAATATGGTATTTGGTACATTGACCCATATTTAACATTTTAGTTATGAATTCCAGTAAGCAATGTTCCCTTCACAAGCAGGAATCTGACAAAAGTGAAGTTTCTATCTTTTTAGTCTATGACATTAAGAGTCATTATACTGTAGGTACATCACTGAATACAGTATATAATTCTGAACAAAGTTTTATAACAAATGTAGCATTGGAGGTGCCTATTCCACAGTAAACTTTGAGATACATTAAATTATTCAGGCAGGTGTTCCCTACAGGTAGACATGTACCATTACATCTGGCCAAGACATGCAATACCAACTCAAATAAAAATGGATTAGGAATTATAGAAGGGCACCAAAAACTGAGTTTTTGACCGCCTCAAACTATATACTAGACCAGGGGTGGGCAACTGTGGCCCTTTTACAACCTGTGGACTTCAACTCCCAGAATTTCTGAGACAGCCAAGCTGGCTCAGGAATTCTGGGAGTTGAAGTCCACAGGTTGTAAAAGGGCCACAGTTGCCCATCCCTGTACTAGATACACCACCACCCATGAACTTTTTGGATAGCATGCTGGTGGGTGGGTGGGGTTTCTAACTAAGCAAATGCTATAGACACAGGAAATTGTCACATATTGAGACCTACAGCTCTTCGATGAATTATTTCTAGGAAAGGAAAAAGATAAAAGTCCAGTATTTCCTACAGTCATACCTGCAATTCTAACAACAACAGAAGACTTACCACGTATTGCAGAATTAGTAAAATGCTATACAATTACTGGTACCTCTTGAGCAACATGCTTCCAGGGTATTTTAAAAGAGACATAACAGGTGTTTCAGTATTAGGAGAGAGAGAGGCTACATTATCTGAAACAAGAGATGATATGATGGGGGAATCCTTCCACATCAAGGGTGAAATTTACTTACCTTCACTACCGGTTCACAAATGTGAGCGTGTGCCTCCTCCACTCACACGCAGAGCCTTCTGCGCATGCGCAGAGGGTCAAAAACGGACGTGATGATGTCCGGACAGGTGGGCAGAGTCTCCCGCCACTGGCGCTACCAGTTCACCAGAGCCGGATAGAACCGGCTCAATTTCTGACAGTATTCAGATGTGTTCATGCTGCAGTTGAACAGAATTTCCACTAGGGGCAATAGTCACAACTTGTATGAAGACCCGATCTTGCAGATAGTCAAACTTGATCAATATATGCAGTCCACAGTTTGAATGCTGAGAGTTGCATCACTTCACTTTGCAGAGGGTGGGGGTGTTCCCTTCTGGAATACTTTTGGAGTATTCTTTAACATTGTAAAAACCACCAACACTCCTTCCAAAAGAAAAAATAGTGACAGAGGAAAAAACTACCATTTTGGAGCTAATCTTCAAATACCTTGTTGGTGTAATTTAATGGATTAAAAATGGAAATCCTCCTCACACATTTCAGATTGCAATGGTATGGTCTATTTTATTCTTGGAGAGTCCTGGTCAGCACTGTTCTCCTTGGGTTCATCTGGCTTCTGGCTGGGAACAAGAAAACCATTTATTCTCTGATTTCTTAAGCTGACCATCATCACACTACCTAACATCACTGTATCATTATTCTCTGCATCCCATTATAATCTAGGAGTGAGAAAACACAAGCCATGATATAGGCCAGATGAGTTAGCAGCACATCATGGGACAATGGTTCTGTCACAAGCCAAAGATACTTGATCTGGTTTGTTGTTGTTGAAAAAAAATCTGATTTATCTGAGCTACTGCACTTCCCTGTTCCAGCCAGGCCTTTCCAGCAATTGTTTTGAATGTAAAGACTTTTGGCCCCTTTGCTGGAATCAAGCCAGCTGCCCCTCCTCACTCATTTCCCTTTGGAGAGTGCTGAGCCATCATCCTTTACTGATAAGGTTTATCACAATCCCAAAGGCTCCCGGCTTCAACATTGAACAACTGGGGCTTATTTACTGGCACTGCCTCTCAATTTCATCTCTCAATTTCAATCCTGGGTTTCCAAAATCACATGATTGTGTGGGGGATTATTCAGAACACATGGAAGAGACACCTCTAAACAATGGTGGGATTCAAGTAATTTAACAACCGGTTCTCTGCCCTAATGATTTATTCCAAAAACCAGTTTGCCAAACTGTTCAGAAAGTTAACAATCGGTTCTCCCGAACTGGTGCGAACTGGCTGAATCCCACCACTGCCTCTAAATAACCTCCTGTGGGACAACTATGGAGGAAGAATAGAAGGACAGAAGGTGGACAGAATAGCTCCTAAAATTGGAAGACTTAGGGCTAGTGACTACCATTTTGCTGAGGCCATCTTATAAGACTGTGGGGGAGATGAAATGCAAGGAGAGAGCTTGTGGTGGCGTGGCTGGAATAAAGGCAATATAACTACAATAAGTAAACAAGTATTCCATTTTCCTCAGAGTGTGAAACTGAGATTGCATTGTTTATGACACTTGATTAGCTCATACTTTTTCTTCTTTTTGTAACTCCTTTAAGGTTGTTTTGTGAAGCCTAGAAATTAATGCTTGCTTGCCAGTAAGCATGAAGACCTTCAACTCCTCATCAACAGAGTCCAAGACCATCCAAGACCGAGTGGCTTCCGACGTCCCGATATAGTCAGCTGGTGCCATCGCTGACTATTGGGGGCGAAGCATTGGCCCCCACGGAAAGGACTCGCAACTTGGGTGTCCTCCTGGATTCACGGCTGTCTTTAGAAGAGCACTTGACGGCCGTGACCGGGAGGATTTTTCATCAGGTTCGCCTGATCCGCCAGTTGCGTCCCTTTCTGGATCGGGACTCGTTACGCACGGTCACTCATGCCCTCGTCACCTTCCGTCTGGACTATTGTAACGCTCTCTACATGGGGCTTCCCTTGAGGAGCACTCGGAGGCTCCAACTGGCGCAGAGTGCGGCCGCACGGGTGGTGATGAGAGCGACGTGGCACTCCCATGTAACGCCTCTCCTGCGTGAGCTGCACTGGCTCCCGGTGGTCTTCCGAGTGCGCTTCAAGGTTTTGGTTATCACCTTCAGAGTGCTCCATGGCTTAGGACCTGGCTATTTGCAGGACCGCCTGCTACCACCAATAGCCTCCCACCGACCAGTACGCTCCCATAGAGAGGGGCTCCTCCGGGTGCCATCGGCCAAACAATGTCGACTGGCGGCCCCCAGGGGGAGAGCCTTCTCTATGGGGGCACCTACTATCTGGAACGAGCTCCCCCCGAGATATGGAGGATTCCGGATCTGCGTACCTTCCGTCGCGCGCTTAAGATGTTCCTATTCCATCAAGCTGGCCTGACCTAAACTTTTCCTCTTTTTAAATGGGAATTTTAAATTTGGTTTTAAATTATTGGGGTTTTAAAACGGTTCAGCCAAATTTATTTAATTTGTTTTATCTCCATTTTAAATTTTGTATTACATGTTTTATTTTATGGCTGTTCACCGCCCTGAGTCCTTCGGGAGTAGGGCGGTATACAAATTTAATAAAATGAAAAATAAAATAGAGTCACAGAAATATCGGAAAATACAGCTTGAAGCTTAACACCTCAAAAACCAAAATCATGGTTGTCAGCAAACAACCCATTAATTTACCACTGATAAATTCAGAAGGAATACCACTAGAAAAAGTTGAAAGGACCACGTACCTTGGTTCTAATTTACATGAAAGCTGGAATATTACCACTGAAGTAAAGACAAGGATAGAGAAAGCTCGAACAGCGTTCTTCAAAATGAACAAGGTCTTTTGCACTCATGACATAAGCCTAAGATTGAAAATCAGGCTTCTCAGATGCTACAACTTTTCTATCCTGCTCTACAGAGTAGAGAGTTGGTCTCTGACAGAAAGCCACTTGAGGAGACTAGAAGCATTTGAAATGTAGATTTACAGATGGTTGTTATGTATAAACTGGGTTGACAAAATCACAAATGAGGAGGTGATAAGCCGCCTGGGAAAGCAAAGGGAAATAATCAAAACCATTAAAAAGCAAAAGTTAGAATATTTTGGACATGTGATGCGACATCCAGAAAAATATGTCATACTTCATTTAATCCTCCAGGGAAAGATTGAAGGCAAATGAGGTACAAGCAGAAGAAGAATATCATGACTTCAAAATCTAAGGGACCAGTTTGGACAAAACTCAGCCGCCCTTTTTCGTGCAGCTGTTGATAAAAATAGGATTGCCAACGTGATTGCCAACATCCAATGATGGATATGGCATAAGAAGAAGAAATTAATTAGGCAATTGAGAAAAATTGATGTTGAATCCCAAACAAGTTATATTCTGCACGAAAATACTCAAATCAAGATTATTTATTTCCAGAAAGAAAAGTGTTCAGAAAGGGTCAAAAGATGTGGTATGTTCTTGAGGCTGCTGTGGGGCTTCCTATCAGTAATCTTCAATCAACTGACTACAGCAGAATGGCTTTGAGGAACCTCCAAACAGAGGTGGGCCATTTCTATGGTATGTGGGGTGAAATTTACCTGTTCTGGCCTTGGGGTTACAATCTAGCCTTCACAGCAGGCTGCCACTGCCTGGACCAGCTAGTCATGGTCAATAGTCTAGAGAGCTCAGTGAGAACCAAGAGAGATGCAGTCCACATATTCTGAGCAAACTGTTGGTGATCCAAAAGAGCTGTCAACATCAATCTCAGAGTTTTACCAGACTGAAAGAACTCCAGAAAACCGTACAGTTTTTGCAAGCATCTTTCCCTATTATAAATCCTCTCTTCATTGGATATGTCCAAGCAAAAGCTGGACAGCTATGAATCATAAATAATTTAGATTCTTGCAAGGTGGGATTGGCTTTTGAGTGTTCCGATTCTATAAAGTGATGTAAAAATGCACAAACATATTTTTGATACCATTCCCCCTAAAATAAGACCCAACTGGAAAATAAGCCCTAGCATGATTTTTCAGGATGCTTGTAATAAAAGCCCTACCCCAAAAACAAGCCCCGTAAGATTGTCAGTCGATGGATGCATTTAGTACCATATTTCCCTGAAAATAAAGACCTAACCAAAAAATAAGCCCTAATGCATCTTTTGGAGCAAAAATTAATATAAGACCCAGTCTTATTTTGGAGAAAACATGGGTATTACTTTTATGGAGACTTTAACAGCTGCCCTAGTAGTTGAACCAAATGAAACAACAAGAGTTCATGATTTATCCCCCATTGTTCAGAGAAGGAAAGTGAAGCAAATGGAAAACAGCAATGGCTATCAATGAAATCTCAAGGGCCCCTCTAGAGATGGTTTGAAAATGCCTCGTGCAATCCAGGCATGTCAAAACAGGTATCTCCAGGCAAGGTTGCTTTGCTGTTGAGATGAAGAGCAGGGGGTGCTCCTTCTCTGATTCACATGCAGAACAGAGCTGAGAGTGGGGTCTACTTTCAAGACCAGCAACAGGTAAATATTCTCTTCATGTGAGGACAACTGACTAATTGAGGCTAATTGGTTCCTTCCTCCAAGGACTTGGTCTTCCTCTCCTCAGCACCTGCAGTTGTCTCACTCTACCTAATGGTGAAATTGGCCAGGGCAGCCTCTTTCTTTCTCTTTCTCTCCTGTTCTTTTGGCAGTACATTCTGTGTTATTTGAAAGCAGGGAAGCTGGTTTCAAAAATGCAGAACGGAAAAAGGAAATTTGCCTCAGGAAAGCAGACATCCTCTAGATTTCTTCAAAAGTGTGGGGCTGAGAATGATCTGTGCTGCCCATTCCTGGAACCTGAGCCGTGCTCGAGCGTTCAGGCAAAAACTTCAGAGGGGCCTTGCTTTCAGAGTAACAGCCTGTGATGCTCATTTCCTGTGTGTGAGAGATAGGAGGGACGGAAAATAGCAACAAATCTGTGAGTTGCCAACAAATTCACATTCCTGGAAAGGCTGCACCTCACATTCAAGTTGGAGGGACTGAAGAGTAGATCTCTTTATTGCAACATCACCAGAATCAATTCTGGTTTCTAAGAAGGTAAGCAATTGATTGACCTGCTCTCCAGAAATAAATTTCGTTGCTAGGAGTTTAGCTTGTATTTTAGGGGGTGGGGAAACAGATTTAATTTGGATTAAAGAAGTACTTTCTCTTCTTTCGAGTGCCCTATAGGAAATGTGTCTTTTTTTAACCTATCATCATCAATAATAATAATATTATGGTTCTTCTCCATCCAGATTGCAGAGAAGCAAATATTTTATTTGTCTATAAATAGACAAATTTGTCTGTAAATAGAATTAAAGGCACTTTGAGAAGGAAATTGCTATATTCATCATTATATATCCATTCTGCTTTCAACTATTAAAGTTTCATCAAGAGTGTTGTTTTTTAAAATTGGGAAAATTTCTTTAACTGATGGTTTCAAGGAGCAAAGTAATATCTGTATAACATGGAAAGAAAAAAAAACGCATTTGAGACAATTGCTTCTTTTGAACATTCTTTATGGCCCAAAATTTACAATTGATAGGATATGTCAAAATTTTAGATATATCACACTGTTGTTTTTCCTTGCATTTTTCTCTTGAGGAAAGAATTCCATGGAATGCAAAAACCAGCCAGTGCTTACATCTGGCCTAATAAAAATCCATCCTAAGAATCATTTAAACATCAACTACTTTTAGGCCAATTTTTTGATAGTTTTGTCAGTGTCCAATCTCCAGCTCTTTCAAACCCAAAGAAAATATTTAGAGAGTCATTATTATCTTTGCAAAGCACATTTGTTGGAGGTATAAGATCCTCTGTGATACCTTTAGTTAAAAGATCTGAGGAAACAGGAACAGAACAGAAGCTCAAAAGAGAACCATCTATTCTAGAATGCTTAGAATAACACTGAGGTTTGTTTAAGGTAGAATGGGGAAAGCCATATGGGGCATTTTCTGTGCATTTGATTCTAGGAATAAAGCCTGTTACCTCCACCTAAAGCAACTTCCTCAGTCTGGAGCACTCCAGATGTGTTGAATTGCAACTCTTACCATCATGTGCCAAATTACTCATAGGTGTTGTAAATAGCAATGGCACGCGAGATAATCCCTATATATTTCGAACAGTCAGGTTGGAAAAGAGTGGCATAAAGAATCTCATGTTGCAGAGCTGGTAGATAGTTCTTGGTAAAACTATTATGCCTTAGTCTGAAACAGAGCTGTGTATCCTCTAAACCAGTGGTCCCCAACCTTTGTGGCTTGGTGGCCCAGCAGGGAGGAGAGGGGAACCGGGCTGCATGAGTAGTTGGTTGGTGCATAAGCGCACAGCTCAAGTTATGTAAGCAGCAGGCCAGTGTGCAGGCTCGTGTGGCCTGGTTGCAAATAGGCCATGACGCGGTAGTGGGCCGTGGCCCAGGAGTTGGGGGTCTCTGCTTTAAACCATTTTGAAGCATCCTATGGATTCTGGCTAATGTAGTAAGAGACTAAAACGTAGCCAATCCTGCTAGTTAGAGTTCTTACATCATTCAGTAGAGTGAAAAGGAAGGAAGGAAGGAAGGAAGGAAGGAAGGAAGGAAGGAAGGAAGGAAGGAAGGAAGGAGGAAATGTGGAGCACTGGAGAGACACAATTGCCATCAGATCTACCTAGAATCATCCTACCTGTCTGGATCCTATATCAGCATGATGTCAATGTTTGCCAAGGGATATCAGTCTTATTAAGCATTCAGTAAAATAATTGGGTTGGTTTATATCTCATGCCTTCAGCTCCCACACATCTCCAAAAGCAGTGTCTTGATAAAAATGCAGTTTATAGCCAAAACCAGCATACAGGGTCAATTTAATCAACAATAATCCAACTCTAATTATTTTGTGAGGCACACACAGCAGTCGTGAGGCACATTTTATTAACTATATTTGTTTCTTGATATGTGTTTCTCTGAATTCAAAGTGAACTTGGTGAATAAAACAGCTCTCTGTTCCCAGCTTATTCTCATGTCAGCTTTGGCTGACAGTTGTGTTCCTTATATGAGATCACCCAGTGATCTTTTAATCGCTAATGGAGGATTTTAATCAAGGACTTCCCAGTCCAATACTCTTAAGAGTGTGTGCAGTTAATCACATTCTTCAGAATGCCACAATTGTTTCCCAGGACTACCCTTAGAAAATATATTCTCAGCCCCAATATATGAAGGTATCTCAAAGCTCACCTGATCCCTATAGATGGAAGTCATCTATACATTTATTTTGAAATAAAAACCACCTTGAACACAAATAGTTTCAAAGCATAGTTTTGTTTACCACTTTTAAATTACCTAATGACAGTATTTCATGATTGAGATTTTTTTTTTTTGTATTAAATAAGATTTTAAAACATTGAAGGCATATTTACACTATCAAGACTGAAGTTGCTTTTGCACTGGCTGAAATGTTACAGCTTCTCCCAGCACATTTGAGTAGCTTTGTAAATGAGGTGGGCATTATTTGAAATAATGTCCACCACATTATTTATGTGGTGGACATTATTTATGAAATAATGTCCAATAATGCACTTCATACTGTTCCTTCATAGAAAAGATGGCATTTCAACTGTGTTCAGTTTTATTTTAATACCGTGTTTTCCCAAAAATAAGACCCTGTCTTATATATATTTTTTTTGCCACAAAAAAAGGCACCAGGTCTTATTTTCTGGGGATGTCATCCACTGACTAACCTCACTTGTGCACATCACCCCCGGCCGCCTTTTCACTGTCAGAGGCCTTCAGGAACTCCTTCTTCTCTGGCTGGCAAGGCTTTCCTGAAGGCCTCTGCAGCCAATAACAGAGCTCTGGATCGATTTGGAGCTTTGTTATCAGTTACAGAGGCCTTCAGAAAAGCCTTGCCTGCTGCAGAAGAAATGGGCCGGCAAGGCAGGTGTCAGGGTGTGCGGGGCCTGGCTGCAACTGTCTGAAGGTAAGTAGTAGGGCAGCTCCCCCCCCCCCATCCCCATCCTAGCTTAATTTTTACTCATGCACTCTGGAATGGGCGGAATTTTAATTAGGGCTTATTTTGGGCACATGTGTAAAAATCAAGCTAGGATTTACTTTCAGGGTAGGTCGTATTTTTGGGGAAATAGGGTAGTGTTTGCATAATCAAGGCTAAGTTAGCACATTTTCAAATATCCACTATTTTCACTCTCTAGTTCTTCAAAAACCATTTGAAGAATAGAATAATAGAATAACAGAGTTCAAAGGGACCTTTGGTGGTGTTCTACCCCGACCCCCTGCTCAGGCAGAAAAGCCTGTACCACTTCAGACAAATGGTTGTCCAATCTCTTCTTAAAAATCTCCAGTGTTGGAGCACCCACAACTTCTGGAGGCAAGTCGTTCCACTGATTAATTGTTCTCACTGTCAGGAAAGTTCTCCTTATTTCAAGGTTGGTCCTCTCTTTTATTGGTTTCCACCCATTGCTTCTTGTCCTGTCTTCAGGTGCTCTGGAGAATAGGTTGACCCCCTCTTCTTCGTGGCAACCCCTTAGATATTGGAACACTGCTATCATGTCACCCCAGAAAATCAATGGGCCTCAAAAATAGTCAAATTTGGAATGCTAAAAGCAAAGATCACCGTCTGCCCTTGCACTGCTACAGAACCTGCTATAACAAAAACCCTGCCATCTCTGCACAAAAAGGAAATAAAATAAATTGCTTGCATGTACATATACAGAATCCTCCTTGGGACTTTGTGTTATATTGTGTTAGGGGAGCCAAGGTGGCGCAGTGGTTAGAGTGCTATACTGCAGCTACTTCAGCTGACTGCTAGTTCAGCAGATCAGTAGATCAAATCTCACCGGCTCAAGGTTGACTCAGCCTTCCATCCTTCCGAGGTAGGTAAAATGAGGACCCAGATTGTTGGGGGCAATATGCTATTTAGTATACTGTTGATTGTTGTAAGCCGCCCAGAGTCCTCGGAGAGTGGGCGGCATAGAAATATGATTAATAAAATAAATAATAAAATAAATAAATATGTCTTTGTCCAAAATTGCCCAATTAACCTAGATCCAACCCAAATATCAAACATGTAGATTAGCCATTGGTGGCAAAAATGCATAGTGGGAATGATTTTTAATGAAGAGGTTACATTTAAGTATTCTTTTCTATGGACAGTGCCATATCCTTCCTTAGGTATACAGGTATCTCCCGCAATAGTGATCTTACTTTTGGGTTCCTTTGATGTGGTCTTTGTGTGTCTCTCTCTCCACAACCCAAAAAGAGAAAAATGGAATCTGATCATTTCTAAAGCTCCATTATTATACTCTTTTCATATTCAATGAATACAGGCAGGGAAAACAGGCAATTCCACAAAGTCACTGAAGCTGTTGAGTACAAATACGACTGCATTTTTAATGCTGCTAAAACTTAATTGGTAAAAGAACCTATGTTCCTTGAATATGTGCATTATTGCAAAAATAAAGATACAGGGACCTAACCAGGAAAACAAAGGGGCAACCCTATCTGAGAGAATGCCAGTTCTAACGATATTTTATTGCTGATAACTCTATCATTTCCAATTAAATTCATTCTCTGGAGATTCCAAGGATGGAAGTAGATACGTTAAGGTACATGGCCAGTTTTGGGTAGTGGTTAAAGTGCTGGCCCAGAAACCAGGAGACTGTGTGTTCTAGTCCCACCTTAAGTATTAAAGGACATAATGAACATAAACTGTTTCAACTCCTACCCTCAAAATGACACTATAAAGCACTAGGCAATTAGACACAAGAACAGTTTTTTCCTGAACGCCATCACTCTGCTAAACAAATAATTCCCTCAACACTGTCAAACTATTCACTAAGGCTGCATTACTAGTACTATTAGTCTTTTCATCATTCCTATCACCCATCTCCTCCCACTTATGACTGCATGACTGTAACTTTGTTGCTTGTATCCTTACGATTTATATTGATATTGATTGTTTCCTGATTGCTTATTTGTACCCTATGGCTATCTTTAAGTGTTGTACCTTATGATTCTTGATGGGTGTATCTTGTCTTTTTATGTACACTGAGAGCCTATGCACCAAAGACAAATTCCTTGTATGTCCAATCACACTTGGCCAATAAAGAATTCTATTCTATTCTATTCTATTCTATTCTATTCTATTCTATTCTATTGCCAGCTGGGTGACTTTGAGTCAGTCACTCTCCCTCAGCCCAACCCACTTCACAGGGAAATTGTTGTGGGGAAAATAGGAGGAGCAGCAAGTATGTTTGCCACCTTGACTTACTTAAAAGGATTTTACAAAAGGATTTTAAAAACCGAATAAATAGGCTCTCTCACTAACCTATGATAATCCTACAACATTCTGTAGACCACATTGATCTCATTGAGAGTCCTGGTAGGCCTGTCAGAAATTTGCCTTTTCCTGTTCTTTACATTGCAACACAAAACTCTAGTCCACAGTCAGCATGCTTGTTTCTCTTACTTTGATTCTTTGTGTCAGATTCTCCTGTGAACCCATTGTTGTCCTTGGGATTGAGCTGCTGATCAGGTTTGGGAGTTGAAGAAACATTAGAGAAGGGATAAGATCAGGGCAGACCGTCTGACTAGAGGCTGATCAATGTACCAATAAAGGAGAATATCTGTAGCTCAGGGTTGAAATGAGGGGTCCTTCGTATTCTCTGAGGTTGCTTGTTTTCTTGAAGACGTTTCATTACCCAAACGACCCTGTTTCCCCAAAAATAAGACATCCCCTGATAATAAGCCCAATTGGGCTTTTGAGCGCATGTGCTAAAATAAGCTTCCCCCCGAAAATAAGCCCTCCCCAAAAATATTTAAACGCAGAGCTGGAAATCAGGTAAGTGGTAAGAGGAGCCCCATCTTGCTCTATGCGCCCCAAAATAATAAGACCTCCCCAAAAATAAGGCCAAGTGCTTATTTCAGGGATCAAAAAAATGTAAGACAGGGTCTTATTTTCAGGGAAACATGGTAAGTAAAATCATGAGTATCACTAAGGAGTGCTGTTTGCTGTCAGATTATATTCTGGTGACTGATCAATGTATTTAATAAATACTATACATTATATGCAGCAGTGGCCAAATCACAAAACAAAAAATGGGAGTCCTGTTGAGTCCTCCCAAATTTGAAGCCTGCACAGATTTAAAACCCATAGCTATTTTTTTTAAAAATCAATTTCCTGATATAAATGTTCTTGGTTCAGGGGAAGAATACATTCTAATTTCACATTTCCTTCTTTTTTTGCAGTTCATCTTTTCCCCTCAAAATGGGAGAGCCAGCGACCCTCCCCCCTTTCAATGAAGCATACCACAACTTGACAGATCTCTTCCACGCGTTCAATCACACATTCAGCACTTGTGATTTGGGACTAGATGATGGCGTTAAACGGGTCTTTCTCTTTGTCCTCTATCTCATCATCTTTGTGGTGGGATTGGTGGAGAATCTCTTGGTCATATGGGTCAACTGGCAGACCCGAAACCACCGGAACTTGGTCAACCTATACATTTTCAATATGGCCCTTGCAGACTTGGGGGTGGTCCTCTCCTTACCAGTCTGGATGTTGGAAGTCGTGCTTGATTACACTTGGCTTTGGGGAGATTTCCTCTGTCGCTTCACCCACTATTTCTACTTTGCCAACATGTACAGCAGTATTTTCTTTCTCACCTGCCTCAGCATTGATCGGTATGTGTCCCTGACAACTTCCTCCCACTTCTGGCATCAACGCCAACATCTTGTGCGACGGATCACCTGTTGCTGCATATGGGCTTTTGCTGCCATCCTCCCTTTGCCAGAGGTGGTACACATGGAGTTAACTGATACCATTGAGCCCGTGTGTTTCTTTATGGCCCCACTGGAGACCTACAATGAGTGGGCCCTCGGTCTCACCCTCCTTTTTGCCTTAATTGGGTTCTTTATCCCATTCTCCATCATGGCAGTCTTTAACATACTGACCGCCAGACACATCAAGCGTTGTGATAAACCAGAGAGCAGAAAAAACTGCTACCTCATCTATGCTTACATAATTGTCTTCTTGATCAGTTGGCTGCCTTTCCACTTAATTTTGCTGATCTTCACCCTTGAGGGAACAAGTATATTCCTCCACTGCTCTGTGCTTGAGTTCCTGTACTTCTTCTACGACATCATAGACTGTTTCAGCCTTGTCCATTGTGTGGTCAATCCCATCCTGTACAACTTCCTGAGCAAGAACTTCCAAGGAAAGCTTATCTCTGCTGTGGTTCGATACATTCCCAAGAGCCAGATGGAGCAGAAGGACAGAGATGGCTCTTCCTCCAACACCCAACACTCAGTAGTCATCACACAAGACAAGCCCTCACCAATTTAAACAGCTTTCCTGATTTTTGGGTCATTGTCATAAGAATGCATTTGCATTTTTCTGTATCAGCAAAGGATAGGCTTCATTAGGATACTTGTTGTTGCCAATGTTTTTTACAATTTAAAAAGAAGGTCAATATAGGAAAAAATAAGGTAGGGAGGAGGATTATGTGCTGCTGTGTCAAACTGACTGGCCTTAATCAACCAAAATCTAACATTGCTATTAGTCCTTAGCTACTTCCTTCATCTTGAAATTTGAAGTGAAAAAAAATATTTTTTTTTTTGCTGCTTTGACATTTTACTGTGGAAAAGAGATGTATTTCTCTTAATGTCTTCTAATGTGAGCAGTTTTTGTATGAAAATAGTATTCCGAAAACTTAATGCTGAGCTGCTGGTTAAACAGAATTGCTAGGAGAGCAACTTATACCTGAAGCACTTGTAAATATAGCTCCAACCTAGAAGCTAAAGAACTAAAGTGATCTGTGAAGATAAAACAAGGTGTAGCCCTATTTTAATGTGAACATTCAATTAGTTGTCTCTTAGAACCGGGAAATCAGGATACTAACAATTCGATCCTAGCAATTCCTACATAGGTCTTTTTAGCCCAAACCACTAACGTTTACCTAACACAGGGGTCGGCAACCTTAAACACTCAAAGAGCCACAAAGGTCCTAACCAGAAGCCCCTGTTCAATTCTGGAGCCGACCGGAAGTCCGGTTCCCCCATCATAGTCTTCTCCTAGCACGGCGTCCTTTTTCCTCTGCTGACCGGAAGTCTAGTTCCCTCACCATAGAGTTTCCTCCTAGCATAATGTCCTTTTTCCTCTGCCTGTCCTAACCGAAAGCCCTATCAATTGGGAAGCCGACCAGCAACAGGGAGCCACCGCAGAGGGATGAAAGAGCCACGTGCGGCTCCAGAGCCACGTGTTGCTGATCCCTGACCTAACACCACAATAAAAATGTGAATTTAGGAAACTGTGAAAAGAATATTTCTAGACGATTATACCACAGGTGATTCTAGAGTTTCTCACTTCTGAGAGAATGCACATCACCCTGAATTCTTTCATTGTGTTAAAAATCCCAAACTAGATTCTGGGGTGTCTTCCCCCCCCCCCCCCCCGCCTTCTTCTGCAGCTGGAACATTTGTCTATCCTTGACTTTTCCACCTCTTTGAGTTATATACCCTTCTAACATTTTACCTAGTATGGAAATAAATTTAAGAGAGAATTATTTCAGTGTTTAATGCTTGCAAAGTAATGCTATTACTGGCCATGGATCATGTTTGTTAAGGACTGGACAAGACATAAAGGGTCTCTGTATTTAGAAAGTGGACATAACTGGTTTGAAGAAGAAATTCATAAATGAACCGAACGAAATGCTGGAGATAAATTCTCTCTCTGTCCCTTAAATGAAATACAATGTAAGAAGATATAGCTATGATTGTTGCATCCAAACATCATTCAAGGGATGCAGAGAATATTTTTTTAACCTAATACAGCAATGGAATAGTGCAGTAGAGTGGGGACACCTGTAAATGTATTTGTAAACATTCTATTTTGACAGAAATATGCAAGATAAGCCATAGGAATTTTCAAGCACTTTTAATCTTTCACCAACTTTACAAAAGTGATGTAAAAATGGGCAGATGGGCTGAGTGAATCTTGTACTCAATAAAGTGGTATTTTGATTGACTGGTTGATTTCATTGATTGATCCATTGAAAGATATTAATTTCTTCCTTTTAACTGTAATCATTTGGCAATTAGCTAGCCTATCAAAGGTATGGCTGGTAGTTATTCCAACTTTTAGTATAATTGCCTTGAATATTAGCATAACATTGCTCATCTTATTTAAAGGGGCACTTTTTGCTCCATGTAAGACCATACAGTCCTAAAATATTTAACCTAGCGTGCTTCATTTCTTCTTAATGATTACAACTTTTCCTTTTGTCATGCCTCTCATATTCCATGTTCCAATACAATGCGTTCTTGTAAAATCGCAATCACATTTAGACTTATATACCGCTTTGCAGTGCTTTATAGCCCTCTCTAAGCAGTTTACAAAGTCATATTGCCCCCAACAATCTGGGTCCTCATTTTACTGACCTTGGAAGGATGGAAGGCAGAGCCTATCTTGAGCTGGTGAGACTGGAACTACCGAACTGCAGGCAGCCGGCAGTCAGCAGAAGTAGCCTGCAGTACTGCATTCTAACCACTGCACCACCACAGCTCATATTCATATAATGACTATATTCACTATTTTATAGCAAACAGGGTCATTTCAAAGTGTTCCTTGCCCAGCTGGGAGGGAAATGGCCTCTCTTGGCCCAAACTAGAAAGAAGAGTCATTTGAAAAGATTGCACTAGTCAGAAATATTCTTGAGAAACCTTGCTCTACTCAAATGTAGATCTTTTATGCGTTTTAGAGAAGAACACTTTGAATATATCAGTTTGGTTGAATGTACACTTCTGTATGTGTCTTACAGCATCAGAGCAGGCAGGTCACCACTTTCCATCTTGTTTCCCAGAGGTCAAACAAGATGGGGGGGGCGTAAAATCTGCAAAACAGCATGGTGTCACCATTAAAAGCCCCACCTCTTTTGAACACCGATTGGCTTTACATGCCTGACAAAAAGAATAAAACCTGTATCAATGTATTATGCTTACTATCTTGTATATTCTGACCCCCATCCTATCCCAGACACCACTGGTCTCTTGTTTAAGATTATCACTGGTTCATCTTTTAAAACAAGCCTGTGTGTGTGTGTGTGTGTGTGTGTGTGTGTGTGTGTGTGTGTGTGTGTGTGTACACACAGAGAGACGATTTGTATACTGCTGGATCCTCCTAACTCATGGCAATGTCCAATATGCTAACTAAAGTAGAAACCTCTCCCCCTGCATTCCTGCTTCCCCCACCCATCTTACATCACTGTATTTTCATTGTTTATCTCACTCTTTATTGTTTCATTATTTTGCTACTGTTACGTTTACACTTCTTTTCATTCCTGTTTTTATTGTTGTAGGCTACCTAAAATAGCCCCATGGCAAGATAAGTCGGCAAAATAAATTTAACGAATAAACATCCAGTAAATAACAAACCATTAAAACACACTAATTAGAAAATAGCAACTCTAGTACCTAATAATGAAAGAGACATCCAAGTAGCAATAGCATTTATATACTGCTTCATAGTACTTACAGCCCTCTCTGAGTGGTTTACAAATGTCAGCATATTGCCCCCGACAACTTGGTCCTCGTTTTGCCAACCTCAGAAGGATGGAAGGCTGAGTCAACCTTGAGCCCCCGTCAGGATCGAACTCCTGCTTCTGTAGACAAAGTTAGCCTACAATACTGCATTCTAACCACTGCGCCACCACAGCTCATAACAATCACAATATTTCCCTAAAGTCTTTGAAGTAGTTTAATCTTAAGCAGTTTAGGGAAGGCCCTCAGCAGAGGGACAGCCAAAATTTAGAGGCCAGCTACTTTAGCTCTTTCCCTGAACAGAAGAGGAATATTACAAGCAGCCACTTCCTCGGAATTGTTGAATCCAGTTGAAGTAAATGGTCCTGTACGCATTTAAATGCCAAGCCATAATAGGGTGATTGCCTCCATGGGAATCGCCCAGCTATTCTTTTCCGCAGTCCTTGACATAAAAGTTGCTGGCTTTATAAGAAACTGGTTTATATACATTTTTTTCAATGGGAAAAATCAGCATTGCTCAGTATAGCTTAGACCCATGATGGTGAACCTATAGCCATATTCGTGGGCAGGCAAGCTCAGCTCCAGCGCACATGCATGCGCCAGCCAGCTGATTTTTGGACCTTCTGGGCCCACCAGAAGTAGGGAAACAGGCTGTTTCCTGCCTCCGGAGGGCCTCGGGGGTTAGTGGGGAAGGCCTTTCAAGGAGTCTGGGGAGGGCAAAAACGGCCTTCCCCACCCCCCAGAGGCCCTCCTGAGGCCAAAAATGGCTCATTTGCCAACTGGAGAGAGCAAAAAAATGGCCTTCCAGTCCCACCAGAAATTTCCAGTCTCCAGAAGGTCTCTGGGGGGTGGGGAAGGCCGTTTTCACCCTCTCCAGATTCCTAGAAAGGCTCTGGAGCCTGGGGAGAGATAAAAACGGGCCTACCAGGCTATTGCGTGCCAGAAGCGGGAGGGAGCGGGGGGGGGTCGTGCACACATGCACTTGAACTTAGTTAGAATCTATCACCATTTACAAATAAGAAAAACAGTGCAGCGAACTCTTTCAGTTTTCACTTTTATTATTCTAAATAAAAAACACACTTTTGTGCCAAACAATGGAGTATAAAAGAATCCGATGTACAACCATTTTAGACATCTACTTTCTTTTCTTTAAGAAGGAGAAAAGTTTTACAAAATATACAAACTTTACAGCAAATAGATAGTAAACACTTAAATAACTGAGAGGTCAGTACCTACAATTCACTTAACCAAGAGATTTGACAGCAATCACAATGCTCGGTGTTATTCTGTTTTTGCTGTTTCATTTCAAGACATCTGGATCTTTGGAAGAAATGGAGGGGGTGGGCAGGGCAGGGCTGAAGTTTACAGAAAATAATAATTAATAATGCATCCATTTCCAAAAATTTTTTTCATTATTTCAAAGTGTTCTACATGTGATTGGAATACCTGTTCCATGCCTAAATCCTTCCCTGCTAGGATGATAATGGTGAGAAGGGATTCTTCACAAATGATAGCATGTCAAACAGAGTGAAGCTATTTAATTACAATACTTAGTCCTTCTACAACCCTAAGGGTTCCAAAGCACTTTACAGACATTTATTACACCTCACAACTTGTCACCTGTGAGGTAGGTATTTTTAACTATTCCTCCTCCCCACCTTCATTCATGAGTGGATAAATATATGAGGCAGGCAGGTGCTGTTATTTGGCCAAAGTTGCTACACTCAAGCAGATGTTCAGAATTTGAAGCCAATCCCCAATTCTCTGGGTCCAAATGCCCTAATTATGAGGCCGAATTACTCATCAAGATTTTGCTAGAAACTTCTCAAGCTGCAATAGTTATCCCTATGGAGCAGGAGGACGGGTTTGGCACTGAAGAATCAGAGGAAAGCAGCTGTAGAATTCTGCTTTGATTTAAATAAATTAATTCCTACTACATACAAGCAATATATAGGAACTCATTCTCCACTTCTCCTACTGAAGGCCACATTTTTATTCAGGAAACATGGTTCACAGCATTGGATGCATTGCCTGAAATACATACCGTAAATGCAGCAGCAGCCACAGCCTTAGATAGGGACATAGATAAGGCCCGGGGAAGAACCATCTTTCAGCATAGAAAAGGAAGAAATACCAAATTCATCAAAATTAATAGGTAGCATGAAGCTTTTTGATTAGCCAATACTAGAAGATTAATATCTATTCAACAGCAAAATCCTTTGGCTTGGCATATTTTTGGTTCTATCTTCCTGGTCAGGGTCCTGCCATTAACATATCAGTAGATCAAGATTAGTGATTCAGTCCCTGGGCAGTTTTTAGATCATTACAAATAATGATCTAAATTTCTCAGCATTAATATTTCCTCATGCTATTCCCATCTGCCATATACATTGTTCAGTTCCTCAGCATATCTTCTTGGTGTCCAAGGCCACAAAGGGAAAGGAACCAAATACACTGAATATCTGCACATGTAATGTATGTATTATTGAAACATTCTTATTTTCCTAGGATGTGAAAACCAAGACAGAAATAAGTGCTTTTCTCTTGAACACATATCAAAACATTTATCTTCACAACATCCTTTAGAGGTAGGTACTATAAGCAAAGACAAAGCAAATCTGCCCAAAGGCTGCCCTACTAGAATTAGTTTCAGAGCTGAGATTCCTGGAGCTGCGGTTTTTACATACATACATACACACATACACACCCATAGGCCAGGGTTACATTTCTGTTCTCTTTAATAAGTGTGTTTATATATAGAAGCCCAAGAGTCCATTTGTACACAACAGGAGCTGTGAAGACTCGAGTGCTTTCTCCTCATGAGGTAGTTTGCATTATTCCAAGGGCCAGTTCTCAAACCAGCTGTTCCATCTCTCAATAAATCATCTTTCCTACTGATTCCCCATTGAATGGGAATCACAGAACTATACTTGTTTGAGGCATCAAACATGATCCACAAAATGAAGCAAACTAAAATCCAAATCAAGGCCTTTGTCTTCTGCTCTCCCTCTAAATGTTAGTTACACCTCGTTCCACTTCCAATTTTCCATCCCCTCAAAAAAAAGGGGGGGAAAGCTGTAATTTCAACCTCTACTATGACTTTTCATTATTACAGAACAAATATATTTGGCCTTTTCAGCTGATAAAACAAATCTGTACTTCCTGCTAGCTTATTGTTCCATTAGCACAAAGACAGAACTTACAACCTGCTTCTGCACTATTTTTTTTTTTAAAAAGGAATGATGTAAGGGAAGAAGCAGACACATAATTTGCTTTTTTAAAAAAAGATGTATGTTGGTAGCAGAAGAAAACTCTACATGATCAGAATAACTTGGAAACTACAATGCGGATTATTGTGACAAGGTAAGAGAGACAAAATAGTTTTGCTGTTTTTCTTCTTTTTCTTTTAATTGAAAGACAATTGGTTTTCTTGGACTGATAGTGAAACATATTAAACCTGACAAAACAAATGTAAAACAGGTGTAAGAAATAATGGTGCACAGTGGTTGTGATATCATAGGCACTATATGAGGGCAACAACAAGAGACATATTTATTAATAAGTAGGGAAGGGTATCTGGGCTATAAAAAATTTAATCATAGTTTTATGTAGCTCTTTGCTACCATCTTGTGGTAATTCTGCAATGCAACCCGATTCCTTCCTCCAACAATTTATGCATCCAACAATCATTCATCAAGATAAATGCTGTTTGGTTAGTAGTCTTGCCCATGCTCCTTTATTTTGACAGATTCTTCATTTGAGCAGCAACATCTTCTTCTACCAATACAGTGTCCTCCATATAAGCTGAACTCTAACTTTCATCACCTTCGGCTATGCAAATATTGAAAATATTTTCAAAACTGCCGATGTTCTAGGAATGAATCAGGATGCCTTTTGATAATGCAGTCAACATTAGCCAATCAATGCCACTGGAACCTCTGAGAAGTTTAACAAAGTAATTGTTTGTTTTGTTGTTAATAAAATTCAATTCTGGAGCAAGAAAGTTATGCATGTAACTAAATGTGTTGAAAATATATTCAAATTGGCTTTAATTCTTTAGAAAAGTTACATCTGTTATATCAATGCAACTATATTCCTCATGTTGCAATCTGACATAGTAGCAGGGGCAAGGAGGAGTGGCATTTTCAATGTAACAAACACTATAATCTGTAAAGTGTAAAAATAAGCGCCACTGTTAAGAAAACTTCTGAATCACTCTTAACAGAAAGTAAAAACAGTGTATTTAGTGTCCTGCTTGCAGGTCATACAAAAACTCTATTTCATTCCCCCTTATAGAGAAGTTTTAAGGCAACAGTGTCTTTTCAAACACAACTGTGCATTCCTACCCATCTTTACTCAGAAATAAGCCCAACTAAATTTTATTAGGCAAATAAATATTGTAGGTCAAAAGGAAGATTCCAAGCACTAGCATAATATATTGCTTTCAAATTTTTACCCTCTGAACAAGACATTTGAACATTTGTTCAAGACAAATATTATAAATGACAGAATTCCACATTGGCATTAAGGCAGCATTGCAAAAGAAAGAAAGCAACCTTATCTCTTGCAATTTTTCCATGCCCTAAGAATTTTTGAAAGAGGCACTTCAGATCAAATCTTATTGTTTGAACAATTAAAATAAATGTGCCTTGCCAAAACTAAGAATTGTTTCTCATAATCTTCTCTTTTCCATTCCATTGAAAATCAATCCAAAATCGGCAAACTCCGCTTCCTCTGGTCTCCTAAAATCTATCTATCCTCTTTTTATCTTGGTCTCTCTGTTATAAACTAGATATTATTTTATTTTAAAAAATAATTGATCCTTTGGAAAAGGGCAAATGCAAATTAAGGCTAGATACAAGGTAGATTTGGTGACCGATTAAACCTCCAAACATATCCAGCAATGGTGAAATCCACATTTTTTTATTGCCGGTTCTGTGGGTGTGGCTTGGTGGGCGTGGCAGAGGAAGGATATTGCAAAATCTCCATTCCCACCCCTCTCTCGGGCCAGTCAGAGATGGTATTTGCCGGTTCTCCGAACTACTCAAAATTTCCGCTACTGGTTCTCCGAACTACTCAAAATTTCCACTACCGGTTCTCCGTACTCAAAATTTCCGCTACGGTTTTCCAGAACCTGTCAGAACCTGCTGGATTTCACCCCTGGTATCCAGCCCTTTAATAACAGCTTCATTCAAAGAAATCAGCTTTTCACTGTATGGAGATCAGGTTTCTCTCAATTAAAGTCTGTAGACTGGCATGACAGTTACATTTACTATGTAAGAAAAGGCAATCCTCTTGAAAGGAAGAATGCACAGATGTGTCTACAATACATGTACCAATAGGAAATAACCCCCTCAAAACAAAGACAGCCTTATTTCTGAGTAAGTATGCTTAGGATTGCATTTTTAATTTTTGGAAATTAAACCTTGTCATCAATAAACCAGAAGCATTTTTTTCCATACTTTCCACTTTTTCCCCTGCTAGCCCTACTGGCATGGAGCATTGATACTTCTTAGCAGCATGAATCTTCTAATGATGTCAGATAAAGCCTGTGAGAGGAGGGGAGAAGTCATGAGATGGGAAATATATTAAATGAAGAACGAAAGAGCTTATTTCTTACATTTGAAACAACTCAGCAGGAGGTAAACACAATGGTTTTTTGAGAACAGTAACACATCTAATGTGATGTTGTTTCACAGGACAGTGATTTAAGGAAAAGTCTACAAGAAACATAAGAAAATAAAAGTATACAGACCATTAAAAGTATTTTTTTTTAATTCTGAAACAAGTTTCCTCTCAGGTAGTGTTTCCTTCCCCAGTATAGCTCATCAACTCTCTGCGTTTTTTTCTGCATCTTTGGAATGGATGATGTACATGAAAGTTTGCTCAATGGTGAAGTCTGGTGGGAGGCTCCCTTTGTGCACACCTATATGCTTGCTCATAAGGTTAAGGGTGGAACTGTAGTGGCCACAAACGGTGCACCGGTACATGAGAGCCCCAGAATGTGTCTTCAGATGACACTTTATGGTAGAACGTCCACGGAAGAACTTGTGACACACTTTGCACTGATAGGGCTTCTCCCCTGTGTGGATCCGCCGATGGTAGTTGAATTCACTGGTATGAGCAAATCTTTTCCCACAAACCTTACAGCTATATTTACTGTTCCCAGGTTGGTTCTGGAGAGCCACGTCCTCATTTAGGAACTTCTCCGTCAGCTTCCGCTTTTGCAAAGCTTGCTGATGAAGACGGTCACCAAAGTTCGGCCGGACGAGGTCCAAAGTAGAGTTACACTTGTGCTGACTAACATGGTAGCGATACGCAGCTTCAAGTTTGAAAGCCTGGCCACAGTAATGACACCGGAAGAGAGCTTCTTCCATACTTTGGTGGACAGCCACATGTTTCTCCAAAAGATGTCTATCCACAAAACTACTGGCACAGATAGAGCAAGAAAAGACAGAAATTCCCAAGTGGGAAAGTGTGTGCCACATCAAGCTGCAGAGATTGAGATGTTGCTGGTCACATATACCACATATTTGGCCTTTCACATTCACATGGTCCAAGATGTGGCCACGAACCACATGAAAATCTTTGGCCAGTGGTTTCCGACAGGCAGCACATGCCAAATCTCCATTGAACAAATTGACCTTCCCTATCAGAGGGTCACTGGGATGGACAATAATATTGTTGTCAAACACCCCTTCTCGGCGATGAAGGTTCAGCTGCCACTGGGTGAAAAACTTAGTCTCACACATGTCACAGGAAAAAAGGAATATCCCAATGTGTGACAGGACATGAGTGACTCTAGAGTTCCTGTCTTGGAAATGGGTCTCACAAACCTTGCAATTGCCAGTCAGAAGGTCTACATGATCCCTGGCATGCTGACGGATCAACTGAATGTTGGGCTCCAAAACCTTTTTGCACACTTGACAAGGCATGGCCTTGTTTTCCCGGCTGTCGTTCTCAAAGGATAGCTCCTCCTCGCTATCATCGCTCAGCTCTATCACCTCCTCTGCAGCACCCAGCTCTTCACTGGGATCTTCAAAGTGCAGATCTTCTTCCCCCAAGTCTTCCAGCTGCAATTCATCCATTGGCCCAAAAACATGATCTTTGGAATGGTCACTATTGCTGGGGCAGGAATTGCTACTTGTTGATATATCTAAGGAGACATCGGAGGCAAAAAGATTACTTTTGTTATAATCCCCGTTGCTCTGGACCTTATACTGCTGACAAGAGTTTACAGTGGTTTGAACAGCCATGCTAATATTACCAAGCCCAGCCTGGGTCATTATACTCATGGCACCAGTAAATGGTCCTGTTACTTCTTGCTCTTCAGCTTTGGGAGTCTGTGGATGTATTAAATTGTGACTAGCTTCATTGATAGGATCTTCTTTGTAGCCAGTGGCTGCTTCACCATGCATATTGCAATTTCGCTCTGATCCCAGTTGTTCCCCACTATTTCGACTTTCACCTAGAGAATGGTTTGGTTCAGCTAAAGCACCACTAGGCCGGTTTTCATTTGAGGCAGAAGGCTGTTTAGTGACAGCTGAGTTTTCCAAATCCGGGAAGGTAGAATGGCAAGCCTTTAGCAAATCATCCATGCCCAATTTTTCAGCAACCTCATAAATGACACCCACATTTATAAGGTCTGTGAAGAGCTCTGATGTATAAACAAAATTCAGAATCTTTTCAAAGTTGGCTGGAGTAATGAAATCCACTACATAAGTGCGGGCAGCATCCAATCCTGTATTCAGGAAAAGATTCTGGAAATAGCCTGCTGCACACGCCAGCACTGCTTTGTGTGCAGGGAAGGAACAGCTACCCACAACAATGGTGACGTCACACATAGACTCTGTCAATCGAGATTTGTTAAGTTCCTTCAACAAGTTATTCGGATGGTCAGTGCTATTCAGTTTGATCCTCATGCCCATCTTGACTGTTCCTTAAAATCTCCTTCTGTTCACTTTTGCCTTCTATTGCCACATTTTTCAGATGCACCGAAGGGTGAGCGACTGGGCGAGAAGCTCTAAAGAGAAAAAAAATGAAGTTCACAGTTTGATTCTTACTGATTTGGAGTGAAATCTAAGACATAATTTTTATTACATTATAATCCACATTGGAAACACTCCAAAATGAAAAAGAAAGATAATGATTGCAGGATATAAGCAAATGTATTGTTCACCGAACAAAAGAACATAGCTGCTTTGGTCTAATAGTTACAATAGGAAGGAAAAAATGAATGTGTGCATGTGAGAAGCAGAAATTAGAAATCACAGAGCCACAAGAAGCATCCTTTCATGTTTTAAAGTAATATTATTAAAGAGTTAGAAAGTTATCATCTGCTTTCATTTTCATCTCTTCTTATTCCCAGTTCTGCAACTAATTGACCAGATATCTGTACTCTAGAGACATGCAGTTTCATAAATAAGAAAACTGGTTTTCCAATCCAATATCTTGCAGGGTTTTTTATAACTATAGTTTTGTTTTGTTTTTCCTCTGAAAACCTCTTACTTAAGATGCATGTTCTACTGACTCTTTTTAACAGATGAGCAAACAGAAAACCTGGAAATGAAATTAATCACAAGATAACTCCTAAACACCTTAAGTTCTCCCATCATACTTTCTTCAAGCCCAACCTGCTGCATCTTTGTTTATGAGCCTCAATTGGCTAATAATAAAATAAAATATGCACGGCTGAGTGTTCAAGTTCGTATTTTCTTATAAACTTTAGCAACAAAGATACCACCTTAACCCACATATCCCACTCTAACTTTCCTCAGGGACCATGCCTGCTATCAAAATAGATCGGAAAGACCAATAATTAATAAAGGATGCTCTCTATGCAAAAGCCCTTCAATCAAGTCATAATTCGTCATACTTTTAAGAAAAAAGATTTCTCCCCCCTTTTTTTTTCAAAACAAATGCATTACTTTAGAAACTGGATGGCAGATAGGTTTTAAAAATAAAGCAAGTTATTTATCAATGTGTTTTTTTTTAATTGCTTGAAGAAAACAGAAGTGGAGGCAGTGTTAAAACTGAGTGCCAATAAGTCGGGGTGGGGGTGAGGGTGGAGGGAAGGAATGGTGACCCTTAAAAGTTGTTTTTTAGCTGAAATATGAGGCTGAGATGGGACACCCGCATTGAACCTTAGGATAACGGGGAAGAAGAGCAAAAAAAAAGAGGCAGAGGGGGCAGTTTCGATTTGCAGTAGATGGGACACGGAGTCTGCAAACACACGCATTTGTGGGGTAGAGGCGGGATGTCAGGCGAGGGGTGTGGGATAGGAAGGGAAAAGAGGGTCGTCGGGATGGGGCTTCTCTGGGTCGAGCCGTGAATGGGTACAAAAAGGCCGGGAAATCTTTCGGGGAGCCCTGGAGAGAGGAAGAAGGGCTTCCCGGGGCAAGAAGGGTAGAGGGCGGCGATGAGGACGCAGCGAGCGGGGTGAAAGCAAAGGGGGCTGCAAGGCACGGAGGAAAAGGCGGCCCCGACCGGGAATCCCTGATGCTAAAGGGGGGGAAGCCTCACACCTTTGTAGGCGGCAGAAAGGAGCTCTTTCCCCCGAAGGGAAGGGAAGGGAAGGTGGCCCCTTACCCGGGAGGCGGTGGGCAGCATCCCCGCTTTCGCATACACAAAGGGCTCCGGCCTCCCCTACCCTCCAGCCCGGCCTCGCCGAGGAGGTGCTGCTCCGGCCCCGGCCAAGAGGCTCCATCCGGCCCCGAGACGGCCGGGCCCAGCGCCGCCCCCAGCCCCGGAGGGGGCACTGCAGCAGCCCCGGCTTCAGGGGATACGCGCGGGAAGCCAACAGCCGCCGATGCCGGGCCGGGAGAAGGGAACCCTGTTAAGGCTGAGGAGAATGGAGACGCCGCCGCAGGAGAGGCGGGAGGCAGGAAAAAAGGAGCCCTGCCTGCCGGGTATGGCAGCCGCGGGGAGGCTCGGAAAACCCCCGCCGGGCACAGAGAGCCCACGGAAGGAGGCGCACGAGAGGCGGCGCTGAGCCGGCGGGAAGGAGAAGCGCTGTGGCGCAAAGCTTTAGGGACCTGGCCCTCCGAGCCCAGGAGCTCTGCCTCCCTCTGCATCTTCTGCTCTATTCATCAGGAGCATTTAATGTTTTTTTGCAGGGTCTCCGCTTCGCTAGTGGAGCCCCCCCACCCATCCACCCTATCCACCACAATGGAGCCCCGACAGGGGCACAGAGAATAATGCTAATACGAGGCAGGGGTGAAATCCAGCAGGTTCTGACAGGTTCTGGAGAACCGGTAGCGGAAATTTTGAGCGGTTCGGAAGACCGGCAAATGCCACCTCTGGCTGGTCCCAGAGTGGGGTGGGAATGGAGATTTTGCAATATCCTTCCCTTAGGACAGGGGTCTGCCACTTTAAACACTCAAAGAGCCATTTGGACCCTTTCCCACAGAAAAGAAAACACCAGGAGCCACAAAACCCTTCCTGTGCCTGACTATTTCTTGAGCAGCCACAAAACTAGCATATGTAGTTGAATTAAACGTTCTGTTTTCTTCTGAAACTTTTCTTTTCTTGGATTTATCCATGGTTGGCCTACCGGGGGTTGAAAAGCTCAATAAATCATGTGCCAGTGGGTGCTGCACATTGGTGATTGTGACGCATATTTTGAGTGACAGGGAGCCGCAGCAGAGGGGTGAAAGAGCCACATGCAGCTCCAGAGCCGCAGGTTGCTGACCCCTGCCCTAGGAGTAGGGAGGGAATGGGGATTTTGCAGTATCCTTTCCCTGGAGTGGGGTGGGAATGGAGATTTTGCAGTATTCTTCCCCTGGAGTGGGATGGGAATGGAGATTTTGCAGTATCCTTTCCCTGGAGTGGGGTGGGAATGGAGATTTTGCAGTATCCTTCCCCTGCCATGCCTATCAAGCCACACCACACCCACCAAGCCATGGCCACAGAACTGGTAGTAAAAAAAATTGAATTTCACCACTGGAATAAGGGTATATGTATGAAATTGCCTTTGGGAAGCAAGGATGCTGCTCAGAAATCAATTAAGTGGCAATGGGGGGTGGGGGACGGAGGACACGAGCCGCTTATGTCCGTGGGTGGGCGGAAAGCCAGTCCAGCGTATCTGGATGGATTACTTTGAAATGGCCATCTTCCCCTAAAGAAATGCAGGTTCAGACCTTTATCTTCCCTCCACCTCAGTTTGTGTCACTTTCCAGTCAGTTTATAATTCCTGGGGACTGCCTGGATTAGTCCCCGCAATTTTCTTGGCAAAGGTTTTTGAGAAAAGATTTGCCCTTTGTATATTCCTAGGGTTGAGAGAGAGGAACTAGTACAAGATCACCCAACCTAAGGAGAGACTAGAACTTAATGATCTCCTGGTTTCTAGTCTAGTACTTTAACCACGACATCAAATTAGCTCTCCTGTCTCAAATCTACATGAATATTATTTTCGCATTTTGTAAGTGTACATGCTTTGGCTGCCTGATTCATGATCCAAACATTAAAACCTGCAACTATGCATCAGTTTTTGAGTTGTAAGTCACTGAAACGTTTTATGGGACTACTTTTTTGTTGTACACCACCCAGAGTCACTCTGAGACTGAGATGGGCAATATCTAAATATGATAAATAAAATAAAATAAAATAAATATCACATGGATCTGACAAATCAGTAGGAGTCAAGGAAAGCTGGGTAATGCCTTCCAAAATATATGTATTCTGTAGTCTAATAGTTAAACCTCTGGTCTAAATCACATTTATTGCCCATGAATTTCACCTGAAGGCATCTGATCCAAGCTAGTCCTATGTATCTACCTCTGCTTGGAACTCTCCTAGTGAGAAGCAAGATACAAATAAATGAATAGTGGATGTGTCTGTGATAAATACAGACATAGGAAAAGGTTAGAAATAGTAGCTTACTATAAATTGAAGCAATAAAGAGATGCTTGAATAAGATTAATACTCAGGAACAGCATATGTAAAGCACACTTGACTACTATAATATAAATGTTAAGATGTTAAAATGTTCAAGAATTTTATTGTCTGAAGCAAAAACAGCACATTTTCTTCGTACTCTAGCAAACTGCACAGTCAGTATATAAAAACTCCCCACTACATGGCAGTAAAAATGTTATGATAATAATTAATGATATAACCATTTGCTATCATTTTTTTAAAAATGGTACATTAAAATAATCTGCCTGAGATGCCCACTTATTTCTTTGTCATGATGGTAGCTAGTGTGATCTGATTTGCCATTGTGCAAATTGATTGTAGCTTCTCCCATGCCCAGACATATGCTGAGACTATGTTTTTCTTTGTGCATAAAGTGACATGTAAGTGTGAGTAGCACACAAACAAGTGAACAATATTTTTAGGTAAAGTTATTCAGGTTTTATATTAGTGTGGATAAACATTTGTCTTAGCAATTGAGAGTGCCTCACATACCATAGAAGAGAATCACTACAATTTTCAACTATGTGTGTGTGTGTGTGTGTGTGTGTGTGAGAGAGAGAGAGAGAGAGAGAGAGAGAGATTGATTCCCTCCCTCCCTTTAACACTAATTCAGATGCAAAATGCTGTTTTCAATGCATTCATTATTGTTTTTGTTTCTAACTGATTTCTAAAGCCTACCAGTCACTATAGAAAGATAATTACCTTAATATAACATGTGTTTGAAATGTTATGTTAGCTCTAGTTTCTAGATCAATGGGAGACTGTATGTTCTAGTCCCACCTTAGGCACAAAACCAGATGGGTGACTATGGGCCAGTCACTTTATCTCAGCCCCAGAAAGCAGGCAAGGACAAAACACTTTCAAAATCTTGCCAAGGAAGCAGTAGGGACTTAATCAGCCAAGACTCATCACAGACTTGAAGACATCAGAAAGCGAACAATAACTTTGCCTTCATATTTTACCTTTGGATGGCCACTGATGCTTGATTAGAACAATGTAAACTTGCTTTAGATAAAACTAAGTTTTATTGTGCTTCTGGCATATAGGTTTAAATGAGCCACCCTTGACTGATACTTAGCTGACTGGGAGAAAAACAGCACTAAACCCAGTTAATATATTTTAGGGTCCAAATATATTTGGATGGGAGACAATTAGGAAATCCTAGAATTATAAGCTATATTGGGTAGTTGAAACAAGCTGAAGAAGGCAATAGTCACCACTGTGCCACTCTGGTTGTATCCATGTGGTCACTACGAGATGATCTCAAGCTCATGTTTACAAAACTTAGAGACACACCTTGACAATAGACAGAATATCTGTATATGAGAGATGCAAAAAGGTGAAGAGATAAGAAATAGGCTCTAACATTTCAGACTGAGCTTTATAGAAAATTCTTGGTTTTGTTGAAATAGTAAGGTAATGCTTTTTTCTTCCTCTCTTTGCACATATGCAAGACATGTCCATTCTGGCATCTCATTAAATTTAGTGGAATTAGTCTATATTAAGTGGACATAAATTTGCAGTAATAGATTTATAATCAGATTCAGAAGCAAGACAGTTCATGTTTCTAATGATGTAGAAGATGAAATAATTTCTTTCCACAATTAACAACCTAGAGAAGTGTGATCTAGATAGTTGGGCCGAAAATCATGCCAAATGTGCTAATCAATCATCTCTTATCAAAATGGGAAATAGCATCAAGTAATATACCGTAGGATTCAATTCCGTGGCCTCTACTCTTCAATATTTTTATTAAAGACCTAGTTGAAGAGTGGAGAGAATGCTTAACAATATGCAAATGACACAAAACTGAGTGGGATAGCTAATATTACTGTAAAAGAAAAATTTCAAACTGAACTTGACGGATTAATAAAATGGGCTGAAAGTAATAAAATAAAATTTAACAAAAACAAACCCAGGATATTTTGAACAAAGGCAGAATTAGGTAGAATGGTAGGATCAGCCCTCACTCAAGATCCAAACCAGGAAAGCCATTAAGACACAATAGGAATTTCCCAACACCCTTTCAGGACACAAGCCTCTTCATTACATCATCTCGGAGAGTCCAGGCTTCAACCAAACTTCTCAGACAACCTACAAAGTTAGTTATGACCCCTACTACAGTCAATAGAATACATTTCTTGCACAGGAACAGGGAGCTCAAGGGCAAGGCCCAAGAGAGGGTATAAAATTAAATAACCCTCACTCTCTACTCCATGTGGTCAGCTGCCCAGGACCTAAAACCCATGTGGTCCTGTTCACCAATCTTTCCAATCAACCTCCATGTTTCCAAAGTCTTTCTCCCAGCTTGGAACTAAACCAGATGGATATTTCTTCCAACAACCTGAGAAGATGTCACACAAAACTCTTCTCCGTTTCAAAGTGAAAGACACAGAAGGCAGATTCCTCTTGATAGTTAAAAAAAAATAATCCTAAATGGATGAGTAGCTGGGCTGTGAAACAGTTGCTTGGAGAGCAGGAGAATTCCCTTTCACTTAGTATCTTTAAGCAGAAGCTAGATAACCATCTGTTAGGGATGCTTTAATTTGGATTCCTGCACTGAGCAGGGACTTAGACTCAATGGCATTAATAACTCCTTCCAGTTTTAGGAAAATCTGAACTTAGGAAAAGAATCAGCTCCTAGACTGAATTTCCAAAAACATGGCCACAGTGCAATACGGATAGTCCTCGACTTACAGCCACAATTGAGCCCAAAATTTATGTTGCTAAGTGTTACAGACGCGACGTTTCACTACCCGGCAACACGGAAGCGCTCCCGATTGGCTGAGACTTGACAGCTCAGCCGGCGGGACAATTAAAAGAGATGCCATTGGCTGCTGCATTTACCAGCCGGTATATAAATAGCGGCTGTGAGAGAAAGAGATTTAAGTTGGTTCTGACATTTGCTGTTGCTGTTAATATTTTAATAAACTGTTCCTGTTAACCATTGCCTCAGTCTCCCTGCCTGTTCTTTCAAAATAGAACACTAAGTGAGACATTTCTTAAGTGAATTTTGTCCCATTTTATGCTCTTTCTTGC